CGGCCCAATGCAGGGGCGTCCAGGGGCGTCCCAAGAAAGGTCCCAAACATCTCTGTGGAGGGGCGGAAACCCCCCGCTGAGTCGGATTGCCGCTCCTCCAAGAGGCTCGGGCAGGTCCCTCAAAGGAGGGTTTTCCGGTGGGGGGGGGGGTGTCTGCTTGGTCTAATTTGTATATCCAAGTTACCACAAACAGGTAGACGTGTTTTTCTTGATTTGTTTGTAATTGTTTGTTGTCACCTCGGCCGTCAACACCATACCACTGTAATGCAACTGACAGGCACTGCTACTGTAGTGTTTGCAACCGTGCACCCAAGGCTGAGCTCACGATTCAAGGCTGGCATTGTGTTTCTACTTTGGTCGCCCATGCTTGGTCCATACACGTTCTTTCGACCATGGAAGCTTTCATGTCATGTGTCTTCCAGCTGATTGCAGCCGACCAAGCGCCAATTTTTCAGCAAGTTGCATGCTGAACGCCTCAAGGTTTGCTTGAATAGAGACGAGACGAGACGAGTTTCATCTGCGTTGATGTGGATGTTGCGGTTGCAGGCCAAGACGAAGCTTACAACCTCAAGAAGTGCAAAGCCCAGCTCTTCACTCCAGCAGCACATTTTGGAATGTCCTTGTCGGTGCTAGCGTATCAGGTTCTGGGAACGCAATGGAATGACAAACTCAGGTGAGCCAGCGCTGCTCGACTTCCAAGCAGACGTCACATCAAGTCCGCCCGGCTGAAGAATCTGAAGATGCATTCTGCAAGATGCAAATCTTCCTACAGACGTGGTTGGCAACCTCACCAAACCATGACCATGTGATGACCATAGATGGCTGCAAGTCGAAAATCCAGGGTATGTTGCAGGCCCCGGGTGTCGGTTTGCGACATAAAGTTTGTGACAAGGCTGCTCCCTTACAAGCCGCCTCTGCGACAAGCCGCCTCTGCGACACGCCTCCCCGACAAGCCCCGATTCGTATCTCCTCTTCAAGACAAGCAACCGCAACGCCGACGCCATACCTATGAAACAAGTGGGTGCGACAAACGTACGCAACGGAGGGATGTGCGGTGCCCGGACACAGAGACATACCCCTGTGTAGACCCTGCTGCCGGCCTCTGCTAGGCTATTTTGTGTTCAGGTTGAGAATATTGCTCTTCAAAGACTTGCTTGCAAAGGCTTATTTTGCTACTGCTCTCGACTTGTTGGGTCGGCCCAATATGTGGCTTTTCAGCAGCCACGAGTTGGGCCAAAGCAGCATCTGCCAACTTCGCACATCATTCTCCACACACTACATATCATCAAACCATATCAAACCCAATCACATCCGATCGCGTCCAATCACGTCCATCCTCCAATTGCGCAGCTTCCTTCTCGCTCTCTCCCTCTCTCCCGCTCTCTCTCTCTCTCTCTCTCCCTTGGTGAGCCCTCCCCTCCCCTCACCCAAAGTCCTGCCGCTTTCAGTGTTTAGTGGCCAAAGCGATCTGCCACATCTGATCATAAGCAGCATTAAGCAGCCGTTGCCGCCGCCGGTGGAGGTAGTAACTTAAGGTGTATCATTTCACACATACTGACATGGCAGGGCCGGAGCACGGGCAGCTTGGTCGCGATTGCGGTCAGCAGCACGTGGAAGCGCCAGCGCGTCCGGGGTGATAAGTCGATGAAAAGCAGTATTTGCTGGTAAAAAATTGCTGATATCCCTTCGCAGTCAATGATGCGGTCTCAGGAAGCACATATCAGCAGCCTTGGCTGTATTGTCACCGACATCTTCTGTGTCAAAGAAGGCCCATTGTAATGCCTGCGGTTGAAGATGAAACTACTTGCACCAAATGCTGAATGGATGCGCTGACCATGGCTGGCTGTTGTTTGGCTTCAGGCATCACGCAATCGGCAAGCTAGTCAGCAGACGCAGGCCTTGCTTGCTTGTATGAAGGATGCAAGGAGGAGAAGATGTGCCGTGATGCATCTACGCCTTACTTGTCCTCCAGTATGAAGATCTGGTTTGATCTTTTCTCGAGCAGATACCTTGACAGGGAACTGCTGCGGGAATGGATGGTCACAAGCTTAGCTTGTTTATCCTCTGTTCTTTTTCTTAGCATTGCACAGTAAGCCAGATTCCACCCAGATGTGCTGGCTCGCGAGATCTCATGAGTGCTCCGCTTCCGCACAGTGAGTTTGTGCGCCGAGCGGGAAAGCTTGTCAAGCGACGGTGGTTTTGAGCTGGGGCCTCCGGTTCCCGATTTTCACAACGAAGGAGCAGTGCGGCCCTGTTGTCTTTTATCTCTTCTTGCAGGCAACGGTATCGAAAGGTGAAAGCAAGTCCATGACGCCCGGAAGCCACCTGAAGCCTGACGAAAGAAAGAGAGACAGAGCGAAGGAGAGTGCGAGAGAGAGAGAGAGAGAAGGAGAGAGGTAGAACGAGACCCAAGCGTGGGAGGGTCCTGCAAAACTCGTCAAGCCCGGAAGAAGAAGAATAGAGAGACTTGCGCCATCATCCCACGACTCATGACAGTCCAACTCCTTGAGCTGCCATACTTCTCTGGGATAAGATGCCACGCGACCTTTGTCGTATAGGTACCAAGTCTCACGGACGAGACCCGGGGTGGCTCCTTCGGCAGCAATGCCTGCCGCCGGAAGGAAGGGAGGGAGGAAGGGAGGAAGGAAGGGAGGACCTGCGCTTGCCCCTTCAAGTAATACAGTAATACGCCACTATCCATTCGTTACCCCATAAAACAGCGCTCGAATGCCCCCTCCCTTCAGGTGGGGGAGGGGGGGGGGGGAGGATATGTAGAATACATTTCGGCCCCCCCTGGGCATGGCCCAGCATAAATGTAGAAGAACAAGCGTCTGGAATCATCGGAAATTGCACGAACAACGGAATTGCAGTCGTCACCCAGCCATAAGTTTCACCCACTGACCGGTGATTACGCGACCTGTCGAGGGCGGCCGGCCTTGCGTCAGAGTGTGCTGACGCAAGGGAGGGAGATGAGTTTTACTCCTTCTTGCCTTGGGTGATGAAGATCATTATCGCTCACTCTAGCAGTAAAGGTCAAGGGACTTACGTAGAAGAAGCCTTTCCAGTCAGTTTGTGTGCGGGTGTGCATCACTGACTCATTGTAGCGAACTGCGCGGTCACAGTTAGGATGAGGAGGTCCGAGCTTGGTTGCCTGAACCCTTATCTGCTCAACATCCGGTCCAGCAGCACAGCAGATAAGATCTGAAGCATCTGTTGAGTCCTGCTTCCGAGACTCCGGACGCTTCCTCTGACGCTTTTTGGGATTGGGAAGCGGCTCGTTCACCATGCCCTGAGATGGGAGATGAAGGGAGAGGGTGGGGCAGGACCGGGCAGGAGGGACCCGGGGAACGGGTGAGCGAGGGAAGGAGAGCGAACAAAAGAGAGAGAGAAGCCACGTGAATCTCTGCCTCATGCCGTCTGTTTCCGTAAATGGCAAAAGTGGCAAGAGTGCCCAAACAATGCAAGCAATGACGCCCGAGAGTTTGCGAGTGAGAGTCGCGCAGAGAAACTCCGGTCAGAAATTTTCTGCATGTGTTTACAACAAAGCAGGCTGGTTTTCCCAAGCCACCCGAAGTTTGCATGTGCAGAAAGGCCCGGATGCGACGACCTCGAAGATCTCTGCTGCCGATGGCGGGTCACCGGCCACAACGGAGAGGCGGCAGGCAGGGCAACGCAAGTGTGGGGAAAGCTTCTGTTCGTCATTTGAGCGTCAGCGCATGCACCTGCTGGGCTGCCCATGTTTGGGGGCGATGCGACGATGTTGCAGTGAGTTCATCCCGAAAAGCACATAAAGTTGCTGTCTTGTTCAGGCAGCCGGTTATGCATGAGAAGCTCACCATGAGACGAAGGAGTCAGAGCTGAGCCAGTAGAGAAAGTAGATCATCGCACCACGGGCGCGAAAGCATACTGAGCCTGCATGAAGGTCGTCTTGCATCTAACCTCAACTCGACATTACTCTTCATCTAGCGGAGAGCATGAGAAAGGTCAGTTTTTGCCAGACAATGCTCGTCCCATGCCCGCACTGCTCGAGGTGCGGTGGAATGTCCGTTGTAACACTGTAACTTATGTAGGAGCGTTCTAAGTTGTTGAGAAGTAGCGTTCGTTTTTGCTTCTGCATTCCTTTGCCTTCCTGTGTACATATACTCTCTCGGCCGTCCAAGTCAGCTTCAGGGCAAACATTGAGTAAAGGCTGAGACTACCCAATGTAGCAGAATGCAGGACAGCTGCTTAAAGCAGAGGGATGTCCTGATCTGCGCTCTCGCCGTCGAGTGCATGCTGGTGCCCATTCTGTGCAGTGAAACCCCCTGAGATCCCCTCATCGAAGTTTAAAGTGCCTTGAATTTCTGGCCATCATCCACTGTTTGCGTGCAAAGCATGGGCATGCAGTCTCTGTGTCATCACCATGCCACATCGCGATTGCTGATTGAATCGGCTAGCAAAACGAATCCCAGTTCGCATCGTCCGGCAACATGGCATTCACTCACATGGGACAACCCAGTAAGTCGAGTCATTTATCACGCGATTCGGCAACTCGACTACAATTTCAGCTTTCATGGCAGGTCGCTTGTTTGAAGCCACACCAGCATGGCATGTGCATTCACGTGCCCATGTTACAGTCTCCACAAATCAAAAGGTGCAGTCAACATGAATGGAAGAAGGTGGAGGCAATGAGCTGTACATTCCGAGGCCAAGAGGAGCCAGAATGGAGTGGACGTTGCCAATGAGCTTGTACGCTGAGCACTGCCTGAAACGACCTAGAAAGTAACAAAGCAAATATTGATAGTATTGACAGGCTTGACAGTCTTGAGATTGCTGGGTGACTGCATTGAGGCTCAGTCGCAGTGTCGGGAAGAGACCGCCGCAGGCACATCTCATCCAGCGCAGTACACAAACATGCAGGAGTTTCCGTGGCTCCAGCGATAAAAGTTCAGACACGCGTTTCACAGAGACAGCTTCACACTCAGTCATAGTCGCTCACTGCAGCCACGCTTTCATCATCCATGGCTTTTGTTGCCGAGCCTATCCCGAGAGGTGCTGCATCCGCCGTGTCACCCTCGTTGGGGGCAGGCGTGTACAGCACCTATGTATTGACTTCTTCGCCTCCGCGGCGAAAAGTCGACAATCACAGTCAACGCGGGCTCCTGCTCACTTTGCTCTCTACCTCTGTCGCTGTTGTGGTGCACAGGGGACGCAGGCAATCGCAGAGGTCTTGCATGACCCTGAGAAGCAAGCCAGACGTTGATGTTGAGGAAAGGCTTCGAGAAGTGGAAAGCACCATGTCCATGGACTCTGTCGAAGACAATATGCTACAGGCAGAGTTGGAAGGCATCGAAGCCCAGAAGGGATCTGCAGGCCTTCGTTATTCAGAGACACGAAGTCTACCACGCTTCTTGTTCCTGCGAGAGCCCGGTTACCGTGCATTTGCCGCCAACGTGCCTGGGGATCTGGGCTTTGATCCGCTTGAACTATGCACAGACGTGCGCAAGTTTGTCGAGTATCGTGAAGCAGAGCTCAAGCACGGCAGGTTGGCGATGTTCGCAGCAGTTGCTTGGCCACTGGCCGAGATCGTGGATGTCAACATTGTTGGCTCTGACACGAATGCTGTAGACTTCCTTGCAGAGACCGGTGGAAAGATGCTTCCGCAATTTGGAGAGAATGACACGTTCGTTGAAGTCTTTGGGGCCATAGTCTTGGCAGTAGGCGGCGCAGTAGAACTATTTCGTGGCGAAGGGAAGGATGGAAACGAGCCAGGAGACAGTGGATTCGACCCGTTGAAGCTGAAAGCCTGGCAACCACCAGCCGTTCTTCGCAGTTTCCTTCCAGAGAATCGACCTTGGATGGGTGAGGCAGAGATTCAACATTCACGTTTGGCTATGTTGGCCGTTTTGTATGACATTCTCGTGGAGCTCTTTACACCGAACCCAGTGGTGGAGGACACAGAGTACATCTTCCACAAAATCGATGCCCGACTCCTGAGGTGGGATTACTGGGCCTTGCAGCCAAGCACCCTTGAAGTTGGGCCAGATGTTCAGATTTGAGCTATGCCGGCAGCACATGCTGGCATACGCCTCTCGGCACGGCCTCTTCTGTCAGCCGTTTCTGGTTCTACAAGTCTACAGACAAGAAAGGCAAATGAGGATAAAAACTCGTGCATGAAGATTCTGCGCACCACGGAAACAACTTTGTGTCGCCGTCACAGGCTTGCATCTGTGAGCATTCGGCTCAGAGAGACCCTGTCAGACCACTTCAATAGCGTCAATAGAGGACCGCATACGATTCAACCCCAAACAACAACCGGCACGACTCATTTTGTTACACACCACCAAGAGACCAAGAGGCACCTGGGGTTGGAAGAACCTGAGGAACCAGAGACCAAGCCAGGGGAACAGGCCTTAAGTAAGATGGCTTCAGCGTCAAATTAGGCTTGCCACATCTTGCCATGCAACTCCTGTTCAGCGTCGACAATGGGCCGAAGTTGATTGAATGCGGGTGAGGGGATGACGATTCAAGCATAGTAGTCTTTCGTCTCTTATGCATCAAGAGTTTCAACAAAACTCTCGGCATGGAAGCAACTGTGTAGTTGACAGGTGCAGTATGTCGGTCGAGAGATGTTCCGGCATAGACTAAATCCTTTTCATGAGTTGAGCATGCAGGCGTGACGTAAAATAAAGTCCTGAAACCACATGAGTCAGGCATGAACTGAAGTGTTGCTGGGAGACATTCCTGTTGACGATAGTTTAGACCGAGGCAGTAGCAGTTCAGCATGTGATTGTCAGCGATGCTTCAGCCCATGACAGCAGCTTCAGCCATGCAATGCCATGCACCAGCACAGGCACGTCTCGCTTCACAACAGGCATCTCAGTAGAGTAGGGTGCATCTGATATTGCGTCAGTGCTGCAGGCAGTGCTTCAAAACTTCAAGCATCCCAGATAGAGGAGTTTTGACTCAGCAACTCCATACGGTAATTATTGACAGAGTAGTGCTTTGACGTCACGTGGAGCTTTCACGTAGAACTCTGCCAGTATTTGGTGCTCAGCATGTTTTCTGGATGCAATCTGATTCCGTGCTGGAGGTTGCTGGACAACTGCCAAGACCAGCATTGAAGTTTCCTGCTCGCTCATTAAATGCATGAAAGATGCAAATTTCCGTCAAGGTTGCCTTGCTAAGTGGGCAGCAAGTTGTGATGAACGCGGCTCCTGAAATTTCAATCGATGATCTCAGAAACTCAGCAGAAGAGGAACTGGGACAGACCTTGAGTCACTTGGTCGCTCCCTCTGGGAAAGTATTATCTCGAGCCAGCACAGTGGAGGAAGCTGGCTTGCAAGATGGAGAGACACTGACAGCTGTGATCTGTGGTGACCGGATAGTGTCATCTTGCCGATCGAGGGCTTTCGCCCTTATTCGGAGCGATGGTTCTTTGGTGACCTGGGGGCATCCAAGTTTCGGAGGCGACAGTAGCACGGTGTCTTTGTCGGATGTTCGGGATATTCAAGCATCCCACGGAGCTTTTGCAGCTCTTCTCTCTGATGGGTCTGTTGAAACCTGGGGACATGCATTCTTCGGAGGCAGCACTGCCCGAGTACAAGCTCAACTCCTGAACGTTGTCAAGATCGAAGCATGCTTTTGCGCTTTCGCGGCCATTCTGGCAAATGGCTCCGTGGTCACTTGGGGGTACCCCGAGGTGGGAGGGGACAGCTCTGCAGTGCAGGACGAGCTGAAAGATGTTTGCGAAATCACAGCATCAAATGGTGCCTTTGCGGCACTTCTGGCAAATGGTTCTGTCGTCACTTGGGGTAATGAAAACCTAGGTGGCGATAGCACCGCCGCCAAAAGCCAACTTCAGAACATTCGAGAGATTCGAGCTTCCGGAGGTGCTTTCGCTGCCATCACGACGGAAGGTTCCGTGGTGACCTGGGGTTCGCCAAATCACGGTGGTGCCGGTGGTGCATCAGCGGTCCAGGAGCTGACAACCGTACAGAGCATCCAGGCGACGAACGACGCATTCGCTGCAATCCTGGCAGATGGGACTGTAGTGACGTGGGGTGATCAGGCGCACGGCGGTGACAGCAGTGCTGTCCAACGGGAGCTGAGAGATGTTCAGCAGATTGAAGCCACCGGCGGCGCCTTTGCCGCAATTCTGGCAGACGGTTCCGTGGTGACGTGGGGCGATGCAGATGCCGGTGCAGATTCATCCGCAGTCCAGGCATCACTTCGTGGAGTACGTCATGTCCGGGCTTCACGTTATGCCTTCGCTGCGATTCGATCCGATGGATCCGTCGTGACCTGGGGCAACCCTGAACACGGAGGCGACAGCAGCAAAGTTCAAGACCAATTGAAAGATGTCTTGCAAATTGAAGCCTCGCAGCGGGCATTTGCTGCTTTACTGGGAGATGGGTCGGTCATCTCTTGGGGAAATCCAGCATTTGGAGGTGGGGGCATCCCAGTCGACGAGTTTGGAGAAGCACCCCATGGACTTCGAGATACTTGGCAATTACCACTCTCGTAGTGCGCGTGAGCCTGCCACGGAAAAGCAAGGCAAGGCGGATGCTACGCCGGATGTGCCCGCTCTCGCCAGCCTGCATCGTGTCCAGCGGAGCAAGCACTTGCCGCAGCTGCTTCAACATGCATTGAACGGTGTCAAGAGCACGTCCCGCCCGGCTAGACGTCCATCCCAGGACTTCTTGAAAGACATCGAGTTTGCGGCCTTTGACAAGCCAAGGCATCGACTCGAAGTGGTGTTTCTCAACATGCGCCATGTGAAGTGGAGTACCAGCACAACAGAACAATAGGGGACATGCCGGACGAAGACAGCCAAGCAGACATAGCTCATGGCGAACATCAGGGATATCAGGGGGCCAGCAAATGGACACAGGGACCAATCTGATTGTCGAATCTACCGAGGTCCCCGCGTGAATGATGGAAAGCGCCGACCTCCGAGGCTTAGAGAGGACCTGGACAACAAGAGGGGCGCCAGGAAATGGACAAGCCGCCCGGCAAGAAGTTCAGAAGAAAGTTCCGAGTGGCTGAGCTGTCTCCTGGGGCCTGCGGATGAGCCGGGCTACAAGGGGAGCTTGGACCCGTCGCATGGACGTCATCGGAGCAGCAGCAGCAGGAACAGCAGCAGCGCTACTGATGTAGTGTTATTTCAATGCAACGTTGAGGGAGCCTCTGAACCGGAAGACTGGGCGAGCGAACCGGAATGAGCCGAACATGCCATCAGCGAGAATAAGATGGACATCGACGAGCCGGAGGATGAGTCACAGGTGATCGATGAGAGGGGCAGCCTTTGTCACGAGTGCCAACACTTTTGAGGAGGCCGCCGCCCCCTCACGAAGGAGACGCAAGAATGGTCCTCACCACCATGATCAACCCATTGGAGGAGACTGTCGACCCCGCCAATGCTGCAGACACCGACAAAACGGAGATTCTCCGACTTGAGACGGTCCGAAAACCGAACCCCCTGAGAGGGCCATAGGCCGCGGGCCCCCTGGGGACCCTCTTTGCTTCGCAGAAGAAGAAGAAGAAGACGACGACAACAACCACAACACCACAACGCCACAACAACCACAAATACAAGAACTACAACAAATACAACAAATCAACAAATCCACAAAGAGCCATGTCTGCTTCGCACACATGTCCCGTGCGCCGCGCGCCATTCTCTGCATCTTGCCCACGAGAGATATCGTCGAGAACCCACAGATAGCACATCTACGCGAGCTTTGACTTGGAAGACTCGGATGTTCGCAAGCCTGTTGCTATGGCCACAACCTTTGGCTCCCAAGGTAGCAGTGAGTTTTAAAGCGCCTTGAAGTTCTCGCGGCGTGTATTGAGGCCCTTGCATGCCAGGCCCCAGTATGAGCCAGAACGCTGAGGAGCTCTCTTCGAGTTGGAAGTTGTTTAGTTTCATGACTCATGACTCCTTGGGGCAATGTTCATGAAAGCAAAGAAAGCTGTGAGGAGACCGTGATGGCAAGCGTCGCAAATTTCGAACCCGTTCCAGCTCCTGGAGAGCAGGCCCCAAGAGTTGCGGTAGAAACAGATCCGAATTTCTGTGCTTTGCTTGCCCATAGAGAAAGCGGTTGCCCCTACGCCAAGGCCGTGGTGGACATCAACGATGAAAACGAAGGAGAAGGAGAAGGAGAAGGGGGAGAAGAGGACGAGGAAGCGGAGGCTGACAAAGCGCGATGGGAGGCCATGTTCCACCATGCTGATCCCGGCTCTGATCATGGACCTCTCCATGCCTTCCTTGACTTCCTGGATCCTGGGAACACGCGTTAAAAGAGCTTTTCTCCGTTTTCGGATCGCGATGTTTTGGTATTTGCGATAGTTTTGCGATACTAGTAGTTTTCTGAGCCGTTGTGCTCTGCTTGGCATCTCAGGATCATGTCAGCGAGAAAATACGCAACGAGATCGAGTCAACTTTCGCTCATATGGGTCTCCTTCTTGCTGATCATGCTTGCAAGTTTTGCTTCGCAGGCATCGCATTCGCACTTCTTTGCATGACCGGGCTGCCGTTTGTTACCTTCGAACGGGACATCAATGAGATGGTCCTGGAGCAAAACTCGCAAACGTCAAAGGACTACTTTGAAGGAGAAGACATCTTCAAGGCCACCCTGCCGGAGTTGGATCGTCGCCTGACGGTCCTGTACTCGGTGCCAGGTGGCAAGAACCTGTTGGATTCCCCGTACTTTGAACAAGCGCTAGCAATTCACTACGAAATTCTGACGAACGTGACTTCCGACGTGGACAAAGACGTATATCAGAAGCATTGCAACCGCTTCTTCGACAATCCAAATGAAAGTTGCATTGTTTTTTGCGCGTTGGATCCTCCTTACCAGGTTGAGCTGCACAAGGGTGGACGAGGCTTCCGCAACTCGACCTATTCAATGATGGGTGCACGGGCACGTGTCGAGCAGGGCCTGAATCCAGAGGATGATGATGGGCACTTTGAATATACGGACAGCTTCCTTTGCAGGTACGAGTCGGTCTCAGACGATTGGAAACTTGGAGCGGTCCATTGGGTAGCCGAGCATCGCAAAACATCCTCACTCGACGTTCGAATCTCCGGGTCAAGTTCGGCGTTCAATTATGAGGAAGCTCTGCGAGGCACCTTCTCGGAGGCTCATTTGTTTCTGATCGGAGGAGTGCTGGTATGGTTGTTCTGTGGTTTCGCAATGCACTTCATTAACTTCGAGAACCACGCGTGGTGCAACGCAACGAACTGGTTCACGGCCACAATGTGCATTGCCAGCGCAGTGCTTGCTATGTTGGCAGCGGTGGGCCTGGGCGGCTTCTTAACCGTACAGGGGCTGAGGCTTACAGCTTCATCTCTGTACGTGTCGTTCTTAATCTTGGGCATCGCGGTCGACGACATGATGATCTTGGCCGGACTCTTCTTCGAAGCTCCAAAAGATCATACCTTGGGTGAGAGGCTTGCAGCCAGCTTCGGCTCAGCTGCAGCTTCTATCACACTGACAAGTGTCACCACGCTGGCTGGCTTTCTGGCAGGGAGCGCCGTGGACATGATCTGGATCAGTTCCTTCACCCAAGTGGGGGTACTGGCGGTCCTTGCGGACTATATCATCCAGCTCACTTTCTTCGCAGGAGCGTTTGCCGCCTTTCAGCGAGGCTGTGGCAAACTGGAGACATCCACGCAAGATCGTGGCCATGCCCATTCGGCCTTGGAGAAGTATGCCAGGTGGTCGGCACACAGCGGGCTATGCAAGGGCATCACATTTCTGCTGTTTGTCGTGCTGCTCTTCGTATCGCTCTATGGAACTCAGAGTTTAGAGGCTTCCTTTCATGCGAAGGTCCAGATCCCTGATGACTCGCATTATCATACTTTCTTGCAGGATGGAAAGGACTACATGGGAGAGTTTGGACCCAACACGGTGTACTTGATGATGGAACATCAAGTTCTCCCAAGCCCGGATGTCCTGAGAGCCACAGCAGAATACGCGCAGCGTATCAGAGAGCTGAACGGCCAAAAACCCTACCTGTCAGCTTCCACAGATTGGACTGTTGCGATGCAGCTTTGGATGGCCATCCAGCCGCTTCCAGAACGCTTGAGAGTTCGCACAAATGCGACAGCCTTCGGTGTAGCGATTGAGGAGGCCCTTGGTGGCACACTTCGAAATCAGTATGGAGGATTGGCCAGGCAATTTCAAGAAGTTGGCATGGCCTATGCTGCAAGCGGGCTTGCTGTGCAGGCTGCTCTAGCCGAAATACATGGCATGGCTCAAGATTTACACATGGGCCCACACCAATCGCTTGCAACCACAAAGGCCACACTGCATGCAGTTCAGCTTGCCCTCAACACAACCCGGCACGCTTATGGCAATTTTACCCAGGAGCTTGGCTTAAGCTTGCAGACGGCGCTTGGTGATGGACTTGCTCACATCTATGCTGCAGCGGATGCATACGAGTCTGGACCTGCGAACTTCTCCGCGGCAGAGACTCTTCTGCAACAGGCTGCGGCCGCCTTCGCATCGCCCACTCCAGTCACCTCGTTGAATTGCACGGCCATCGAACATTTAGAGGAGGCATCAGCTCAACTCCTCCAGTCGGTCTACGCTTTCAACTCCTCCCTGAAAGTGCGGATTCTGCGCGCAGCGGCTTCTTTGAAGTTCGCGGCTACCAACTTCCACAACGCTTTGCCAAGTGATGATCGCCTTCTGGTGAAGTACGACATTCAGTTCTTGCAACGAGAGTTCTTGAGAAGACTTGGCGATCTGATGTCATACATGGCTGATCCGTATGTGGAAGTAGTTCTAGCACAGTGGTGGAACAACACCCTCTTTCCGATGGAGCTTGTGGGCATCCACGCAAGAAACACAGCATTGACATTGCGAGCAATGCAGCAAACCGCGGGAACTCTAGCTTCCCAACCTTTGGCTCCTGTTGCTTCCGCTTGCACGGAGCTCCGGAATGCTTTGAGTGCTTCCCTGGATGGCTCCTTTAACTCCGCTGCAACCCGCGCATTTGGGCATCTGGTGGCATCCGCGGCCGCTTATGCAGGAGATGAGACCAACTTGGCTCACCTTGAGCAGCACTACGAGTCTGGAGCTTTCGGAGATCCAGGTGCAGATGACAAGTGTTCCCCACAAGAGGTCACCTTGGAAAGCCTGCGTCGCGGCATGGCTTATGGAGTTGCTCACTACCGTTCTACTGTGGTGTGGAACGCTTTTTCCAACTATTCCATGGCAGACGCAAGGAGGTGGTTGACAAACATCATGGGCCGCTCTGTCGACATGAACACACCACAAACAGCCAGCGCCATCAGGAGGTTCGTGGGCCATCAGTGGCTTTCTTTAGCAGGCGAACGGGAACAGGTCACGCGGGAGCGAACAGCAGAGCGCAAAGCAGATCAGGCCCGCAGAGCTGTTGCTGCTGCTCGCCGCATGCGCGTGGCGAGGGAGGCATCTGCAGAAGTGTGGGAAGATGTAGACAACTATGAGGAGAGCTTCGGCACAGAAATGGAGACCGTTGTGTACGACGAAGATCTGAAGCCAGGCTGGTTGGGCGGAGGGGGCTTGAAGTGGTGAGCACTTCTCATACTATCATACTATTTACTCATAGCTTGCATGAATGATGCTTGTGATTCGAACAGCCTCACTCTTTGAAAGCTCTTTTGGAACCGCACGAGCAGCTCCCATCAAGTGGAATATGTATGCTTTCCATGCCATTATCCGGAATAAGCTGTTGCATGGACTGGAAACTACAGCTGACTAAACCAGGACAGTCCCGAGTAGATGCGTCTCTTGATTCATTTTAAACACTATGCGACCTGCCTCGGAGGGGGAGGGTGTGGGGGTGGGGTGAAAAAATTGGAAAAAGGCTGGTTCTGAGGTGTTGCAGGGCTAGGGCTGGGGCTTGTATCAGGGTATGTTCTGGGGATTGTATCATACCATATTCCGACCCTTATTCACTCCATAATCTCGTCCCCTGCTTCGTTTTCATCATCATCTTCATCTTATCCGTTTTCATTGTTTTGTCACCCTCTCTCGTTTCGTCCATTACCATTCCATTACCTCATCATCATCATCATCGTCGTCGTCGCCTCTTTCGTTTCTCATCACCATTTTCATTTAAGTAGTTTCTCACCCTCTTTTTTCATTATCGTAAACCTCCCCCTCCTTCGTTTCATAATTCCTATTGTCGTCTCCTTCGTTTTCTGGGGCGTTGCCACCTCACACGCTTTTTAAAAGATATTCACAATTATTATTATTTACATTACCTCATTCATTATAATATCTAACGGGCTGTCGCCCACAGCCGGGCACGCCCACCAGCAGCAGGACAACGGCAGCAAGCACAGCAGCAACAACAACAACAACAACAACAACAACAACAACAACAACAACAACAACAACAACAACAAGAACAACAAGAACAACAAGAACAAGAAGAAGAACAACAACAACAACAACAACAACAACAACAACAACAACAACAACAACAACAACAACAACAACAACAACAACAACAACAACAACAACAACAACAACAACAACAACAACAACAACAACAACAACAACAACAACAACCAAACAACAACAACAACAACAACAACAACAACAACAACAACAACAACAACAACAACAACAACAACAACAACAACAACAACAACAACAACAACAACAACAACAACAACAACAACAACAACAACAACGACGACGACAACGACAACGACAACGACAACGACAACGACAACGACAACGACAACGACAACGACAACAACAACAACAACAACAACAACAACAACAACAACAACAACAACAACAACAACAACAACAACAACAACAACAACAACAACAACAACAACGGCGCGCGCGCGCGCGCGCGCGCGCGCGCGCGCGCGCGCGGGAACTGGTGCGTTTTCCGCGCGCGCGCGCGCGCGCATGTCGAGTGCCATGTTATGGAGTTATGCCAGCATCCTTCGAAATCCTGCCGCCCGAAACCCTTTCCGGAGCCGCTGATGCTGCTGATGCTCGCCCCCCGGATCCCCAAAGAGAAACGAAGCCTCGATGATGCGCACCCTGGCCCCCCGCCCGGCCGCGCATCATGAGCATCAGCGGCTCCGGCCTCCAGGCATGCATGGCTTATAGGGGCATATGCCGGCCTCAAAACGGAAATGTCCGCAACAGCACGAAAACCACGGTATTTACAGCGATTTCTGTGTTTTCCAAGCTCTCAGCCGCATCCGAAACCCGAGACCCAACCCGCTGATGCTCATGATGCGCGCTCTTGTGGGGGTCCTTCGGGGTGGCCGATGCCACCCAAAAAACATCAACAACGCGTATTTGGCCAAAGTTGAAAAAGAGAGCCGATGAGGCCCTCCGGGGTCGTTTTTGGGACCTTTCATGGGGCGCCCAAAAAAATGCGTCCAGGAGCCCAAATTCGGTGGGGAATAGCGCGTTTTTCGCGATAAAAAATGTACCTGAAACATGATGCCCTTCGGAAGCCGCATTTGGAGCCGGATGTTGGGGAGCCAACCGGGTCGGCGGCATATGCCCCCCCCGGGGTAGCTAAAGCTAGGGCTGGCGCCTAACGGCGTCGGACCACGGGCGTGCCCGGATTTAAGGGGCTGCGCCCATGGGCGGGCAGCGCAGGCAGAAGCGCAAGGCGAGCAGATCCGTCACAAGCATTTTGAGGCCCCTAAACTCCCTTAAAATCTCTCAGCGTTGGAGGCTCCTGAACTCCCTTAAAGTTTCTAAGCATTTTCAGGCCCCTAAACCCCCTTGAAATCTCTAAGTGTCGGTGTGGGCCCCATGCTGGGGCGTTGCGGGTTGTTGTGCGCCCAGCATTCTGGGTGCTTCCCGCGGTGGAGCTTCGGGCAGTGCTGGTTGGAGGTCCGTCGCCCCCGGTGGTGTTGGTGGTGCTTTAGGTTTAGCGGCCACTGGCTCATACCCTGTGCGGCCCCCCCTGTGTGGTGTTGTGCTGCCGTGAGCTGGCTGACCCCGTGGTGGGGTTGCAGTGCGTGGTGGGGATCTTGGGCGGCGGCTTGGAGCGTGGCTTCCAGGAGGGCTTGTGCTGCTGCGAGGTGACTCGTCGCCCCCATTCTGGTCGCTGTGAGTGTGGGCTGCTGTGGCGCGCGGCTCCCCCCGCCCCCTTGGTATAGCTGTTTGCGGCGTTGGGTCGCTTGGTTGTACGTGTCTACTGGTGCTTCTTCACTCGGGTGGTGCGCTTGGGATGGTCGGGTATCGCCCCCTTCCTGGCTGGCCCCAACGTTCTTGCCCTCCGTCTCGCCTTGCCAATATCACGACCTTGTACTTCTCGGTGTCCTGCTGCGGCGTCTTGGGTGTTGGGCTGCGGTCCTGGGTCGGCATCTCCTGGTTGGGCCCGGCGTGGTCTGGACCCCCCAGGTTGGTTCGGTGGCTCCGGCGGGTCGGCCCCGGGTTGCATCTGGCTCCGGACCCATTGCCCCCCCACCAAACAAGGGCCGTCTTGCGTAGCCCCCTCATGTTCACTGCTGAGCGCTGCTGGGTTGTTGCTTCTGCTTGAGAAACGGCTTTGTGGCTGCATCCTGCCTGCGGGTCTGCTTTGCTTAGGGCGTAGTGACTGGGGACTGCTCACGGCTCTCTCACTCTCACATGTTTGTGCAACTGTCCGCCCCGGCTCAGGGGTGGCATTGGGCCCCCATCCCCCATCCCCCCCCATCCCCCGGCCTGCCCTTCCCCCACCGCGCGCGATGCATCCACACCGCTGGCCCCGCTGCCCCCCGCGACCTCTGCTGCTCTCCCTTGAACGCGGTCATCCGCGCAGTGCCCGCGGGCATGGCTTCCGCTTCTTGGCTGGCTGCGGTCTGTTGGGCGCTAGGTTTTGGATTGAGGGCTGCCTGCCTGTCGCCCATTTCGGGTCAAACTTTCTGACAAAAGAGTGCTGGAGCGCTTGCCAATGCGTGCGGTCTTGCGCCGCCTGCACCCAATCATCCCCCGCCACACTCGCTATCTGCCTCTGCGTGTCCATGTGAGGGTTAAAGCGCTTGGGACGCCTCGCCCCCTGTGGGTGCTGCTGCTGTGCCCGCCACCACTTTTGTCCCCTCCACTCAAGCATGTCTATGGCGGCCCCTTCCTGGCGCGCCACATGTCCATGCAGTTGCCATCATATACGCTCCAAAGCGTGCGTCGACCACCTCTTCACCCCTTCCCGGTGCATAATCGCCCTTGCTAGCCGCACGGTGCGCTTGTGCCACTCTTCCCACCGTTCCCCCTTTTTGCGTTTGTGCCCCACCATTGCAGCTGCTGCGTGTTCGCCATTTTGAGCAACGTTTCCTGCGCCGGCCACGCCGAGCAGCCCCACACCCTTGCCCCCCATTCCCCTTTCTGCTTGGTCAGTGGCTTTGGCCAGGACCTCCCCTCCCTCCCAGCCCCCGATGATGAGCGCCGGTTGCTTGGGCGCCCCCACTGCGTCCACTTCTCCAGTTGCGGTGCTTTGCGCCGAACCTCCCCACCCCGACTGCATCCTGAGCTCCATGGCTTCCACGCGCTCCCGCAAGGCCTTGGTTTCCGTAGCGAATCGCTGCTCCAGCTCCGCTTGCCCCGCCTTGACGGTGCTGAGCTCCTCCGTGTGGCGCGTGTGCTTGTCCGTCAGCGACTCCAGCATGGCCAGTGTGGTCTTGAGCTGTTTGGTCACTTCCGTTTCAACAATGCCAATCCTCACCGCCACCTCGTTTCCCACCGCCTGCTGTATTTCCTTCTTCATCCGTTCGTTGTTCTGACTGAGCTCGGCTTTGAACGCCTGCTTGATGTTGTCCAGCGTGACGCCCCCCACCGTCTCCACGACGTGCGCTTCATCATCTTCTTCCCCGGCTTTGCGTTTGGCGGGCGACCCCCTGCCCCCCCACATAGTGCGAGGTTTGCCGTCGTCATGTCCCTGCCACTATCACGAACACCGAGCTCACAAAGTCCCTGGCGGGAGCTGGATCGCCCCCAAGACGTAGGAGTCCGTAGGCTCGCTATGCCTTTCAGGTAGCTGGGCACAATGTCCCCCGCACGCCTCGCAGCAGCGGTCACGTCCTGCTCCGATCTTGCCGATGTCCCCCTTCAGAACCTCGATGCAGCGCCGTAGGTATCACGGACTGGTAGGGCAGCTCGAATGGCACACGGGCGAGTCTCTCACTGAGACTCTCACACCCCCCCCTCAGAGGTGGCTCGGCCGACGGGGGTGCCAACTCGCGGCTCGCTCTCTCTCTCTCTCTCTCTCTCTCTCTCTCTCTCTCTCCCGCTCTCTCTCTCTCTCTCTCTCTCTCTCTCTCTCTCTCTCTCTCTCTCTCTCTCTCTCTCTCTCTCTCTCTCTCTCTCTCTCTCTCTCCCCCTCCCTCTCGCTCTTCCCCTTCCCCCGCGCGCGCGCGCGCGCGCGCATCCGCATCAGGAGCATCATTGGGGTTGGTTTGGGAGCCCAAAAGACATTCTAAGCATGCGTTTTGCCTTCGAAAAACCTTCAGAAAACGCTGCAAACACGTGTTTTTGAGCTTGGGAGCCTTTTGGAACCGAGAAAAAGAGAGCATCATGAGCATCAGCGGCCTCCCCCAGGCCATCCGAAACCTCCTGAAACACGCCGATTATATGTGCTTGAACGCTTGCGTGCCCACCAAACCCCCAGAAGCAAGACCCCGAACGCCCTTAAGCGCATTCGGGGTCCTGCTGTTCGGGTGTTTTGTAGGCACGAAGCCGTTCGAGCGCGTAAAATGAGCGATTTTAGGGGTGTTTTTACGTAGACCCACAAAACACTCGGTATTTACGAGGTTTTCTGCTGTTGGAGCACCCCCCCAAACCGAGCATCATGAGCATCAGCTGGGTCTCTGGGCCGTGGGCCCGGAGGCCCACGAAGCCTCATGCGAAACGATGGCTCAACGAAGCGCCGGACCCCCACGCATCAGCAGCATCAGCAGACCCCCCCCCCCCGGACGTGGGTTTCGATGATGCACACTTTCGGGGCGGGTCAAGGGCAACAGGGGTGGGGGTCGGAGGCACGCGTGAAAAACCTCAAAAAAACACGGTATTTACGGCGTTTTTCAGCATTTTTTGTTGCCTTGGGGCCGCGGGCCAGGGCTGCTGATGCTCATGATGCTCGCCTGGTTTTGGGCTTCCGGTACCCCCCCCAAACCTTGAAAAACGTGGTTTCGGCCTGGCGCGTGCCCCATGTGAAAAGCTAGGGCTAGGGCCGATGATGCACGCCCGTGAGGGTTTAATGGGGTGCTGCGGGTGTTTTGTGGCCTCGGTTTTTCGTAAAAACCCATGGTTTTTACGAGGTTTTCGTGCTTTTCGCACCACCGCGTGTTGCATCCCCTTGGATGCCGTTTTGGAGGCCTCCCGAAGGGCCCCGCGCGAATTTGAAGCAATTTTGGGCAGGGTCGGCGGCTCGGGCACTCGCCCCTTAAAGCTAGCGCTTGAGTGCGACGCGGGCTCCGCCCTGGACCACGCGCGTCGCGGGGGCCGGATTGGGCCGGACGCCAGTGCCGCCGACCCCCGCGCGCCGCCGTTGAACGGTTCTGTTTTTCGTGGTTTTTTGCGTCGCCACGGAGGCCCCCAGAGGGCGCGCATCATGAGCATCAGCGGGTCCAGCCCGGGACCCCCAGGCGCGCATCAGGAGCATCAGGCGGCTCCCGGGCGGGACCTGGGGGGCGCATCAGGAGCATGACGCCCCCTTAAAGGCGGGCATAAGCGACGTGTCTATAAGGTCGGGGCTGGAAAAAGGGAGCTTCGGGGCCTTAGGGGCCTTGTGAAATGCGTAGAAACTTGAAAGGAGTCTAGGAGCCTCAAACGCTTCGAGATTTCAAGGGGGTTTAGGGGCCTGAAAATGCTTACAAACTTTAAGGGAGTTCAGGAGCCTCCAACGCTGAGAGATTTTAAGGGAGTTTAGGGGCCTCAAAATGCTTGTGACGGATCTGCTCGCCTTGCGCTTCTGCCTGCGCTGCCCGCCCATGGGCGCAGCCCCTTAAAATCGGGCAGCGCGAGGTCTTCAAGGACCGAGCATTGGCGGACCGTTTAACCTGGGTCGTCGCGGGAATAGCCTTGCTAGCTGCGAAGCAGAATGGGGCCGGACGCCAGTGCCGCCGACCCCCGCGTGCCGCCGGTGAACGGTTTTTTTTTCTTTTTTTCGTGGTTTTTTGCGTCGCCACGGAGGCCCCCAGAGGGCGCGCATCATGAGCATCAGCGGGTCCAGCCCGGGACCCCAGGCGCGCATCAGGAGCAGCAGGCGGCTCCCGGTACGGGACCCCGGGGGCGCATCAGGCGCATGACGCCCCCCAAAAGGCGGGCATAAGCGACGTGTCTAAGGTCGGGGCTCGGAAAAAGGGAGCTTCGGGGAATTAGGGGCCTTGTGAAATGCGTAGAAACTTGAAGGGAGTCTAGGAGCCTCAAACGACGCCACCTCACGGATGTGGATGCCAAGCTGAAGCGGGAGGGGCTGGAAATACACAGCAAAAAGGTGGCCATCATCACCAAAGGTGGGCAAGGAGTGGGTCAAGCCCGGGGGCCCGAGGACCACTTCGCGGTTTTGGGGTCGCCGGTTGCTTTTCGGGGGCAGGCGCACTTGCTGGGAGGGGAAATGGCGGCCAGGGCGTGCAGGGCTTTCTGGGTAAGGAAGGAAGAGCTCAAAACACCAACGCCCATTAAGCCCAGACTGGCCCTGCACCTCGCGTATGTCAGGCCGGCGGGTGTCCTCAAAGACGAGGACATGGTGGCGGCCGCGCTCCAACAGCACACGGAGGGAGACCCACACACCCAGCTGGCAAACATAGCCAAGCAAATCACACGGCCGGCTCCGGCGCCCGGCGAGCCATGGCAAGAGAGCCCTGAGCTCAAACAACTCCGAGTGGACGCGCATGCCGCACCAGCAGCGGGGAGGAGGCAAGCGTGGAAGGCGGTGTGGAAGCAACTGCAGGCGGAGCGCAAGGCATGGCGCAAACGCAAGGTGGAAGCGGCATCCCAAGCCAACTGGGGGGAACTCAGGTCCCTAGCCAACCACCGCAGACGCACGCGCTGGGATGGCAAGCAGCGCTAAAACACCACTTTGAGGGCATCTTCGCCAAGGCCCCGGCAGCACAGGTGGAGGCGGCAATGGGGGCACTGAGACACAAGTTGAGGGGCATGTGCAAACACCAGCCCTGGAAACCCTTCACACAAGAAGAGTTGGAGGCCACATCAGAAAAATGGGGGAAGCGCAAAGCCACGGGTATGGATGGGGTGGCGCTGGAAGCTCTTCGTGAGCTCAAACAGCACCAGAACTGGCGGGGGAAATTGCAGTGGATGCTGGATGACTTGCTCAGGGGGGAGGTGGGGCGTGGGGTCACCGTGCTCATACCCAAAGTGCGCACACCGCAACGAGACCAATCACACTGTCCACCACCATGCTGAAGTGGATGTCACAGCTGCTCCTCAATAGGGGGGCGCACCACCTCACACCACTGACACAATTCCAATGGGCATGGAAAGGGAAGCAAGCGGAGGAGCTGCTGATGCTCATGCGCAAACTCACACGCACCGCCGAGGACTGGGGCATCCAGTTCTGGATAGTTAAGCTGGACATACGCAGCATTCGACAGTGTGCTGCAGCAGTCTCTGGGGGCCATGGTGGCGTCTTGGGTGGGGGAACAAGGGAAAATGCCTTGGGAAGCGCACGCGTGGCTCAGCCTGCTCCAGGCACAGCACATTCAGGTGGCGGCGGGGGGGGAGCTGGTGGATGTCAGGCAAACCACGGGAGTAAGACAAGGGCACCAGATTCGCCGCTGTTGTTTTCGGCACTCATAGGGCGCATACTCCAGCTATGCCTCCCACCACTTCCCCCCAAAGGGGAAGCACACCAGCGAGCACCAGAGTGCCCGACAACCGGGGGGGCCTTCATGGATGATACCTACCTTTGGGACACGGACCCCGACAGGTTGCAAGCCGTCCGCCGTGAGAGAGGCGTCCGACCCAACCGGCGGGGGCACTCACACGCCCGCAACAGTGCAGGCAGCGCAGCCGCAGCAGCACCCACAACACCCAGCAGACCCGATCCACCAGGCGACGCAACCACCACCACAGAAGCAAAAGCCGCCGCCGAAGCAACCACCACCAAAGCAGCCGCCACCACGCTCACAACAGCAGCTGCCAGCGAGCAGCGGAGATGCGCGGCAACAAGCGAGCATCCAACCACAGCCGCCCCTGCCACCACAACCACAACAAGGATCCCCAGCAGCAACCGCGGGGGACAAGCAGCTGCAGCAGGGGCCAGGCGGAGCATACCAGAACACGGGGGCCAAGCAGGACGGCAGCGGTGGCAGTAGCAGCAGCAGCAGCAGCGGGAGCAGCGGGGGGGCAGGACACACAAAAGGATGAGGAACCGAGCTGAAAAAGCTTGGCAGCGGAAGGAGGGGGGCCGACGCAGGAGACACACAGCCCACTGACTGGGCAGAACTGCTCAAACAGACACCTCAGGCGCCCCAGCACCCAGCAACCAACGCAGGACGGACAAGGAGGGAGCAAGCAGGACACAGCAGCGCAGGCAGCGCACGAGCAGCGACAGCAGATGAGGGAAGCGACAGCAGAGGAGGATGACAGGCACAACGAAGGAGGGGCCATAGCAGAAGCAGAAGCCCCACATGCCAGCGGAGGAGTCGTACCAGGCTCCAAACAAGATACAGCAGACAGAGCCAGATACGAGGAGAGGCTCGCAGCCGAAGCAACACAGCGCCCAGGGAGCACCCTGAAGGAACTCCGAGCACCCTCACCCCGAGGAGCGCCCGCTCCAAAACCAAGCCGAAAAAGCAGCACAATCACAGAAGACGGCTCCGAGACCCATTGGAGTAGCAGTGACCACAGCAGCAGCAGCCAGTCAGGAGGACCTCAAGAGCAGGACGATGTGGGGCTGGGGAGGAAGAGGATTGGAGTAGTATGGACGGACCTCCGATAGTCCCCATGCTCCCAGAATCGCATCTTGGTGTCAGGGGCCAAGCGATGTGGACCCTACGCATCAGGCCGAGCAACGAAAGAGTTTTTAGGGGGCACAGGGTGGTCCAGCGCGCGGAGGCCACACCGCAACACACACAACAGGCAGGGAGGGGGTTGCCGTTGCCCACAAAGCTAGAGGGGGAACTACGCAAGCTGCGGGGGCATGACACCTGGATACTTGTGGTCACCCACATTGACCATGAAGCGGGGGCAGCAGCAGCAGCAGCCCTAGCAGATGCGGCAGGCAAGCCACAGCAGAGCGCCACACCACTCCACATCGGGGACTTTGCCAGGCTCGACCCCGATGTGCCGCCGGTGGGGCGGCGCATACAGCCCTCAGTCGTAACCAGGCTCCCAGCACAGGGCGAAGACGCAGAACAACAGGAGGGGGGGGGCAGGAGGAGGGGACAAGACCGCGGTCACCACCACCACCTCCGCCGCCATCACCACCACATGAGGAGGAGGTGGACAGGACGGAGCTCATGCAAACCACGCGTGGAGGAACACGGCCAGCACCATCACCACCAACACCACCTCCACCACCGCCGCCAACACCAACACCACCACCGCCACCACCACCACCACCACCGCTTCAAACCTTCTGATTTGCACAATATTTTAGACAAACAAAAGAAAGTAATTGAATACCAAAAGAAAAACAATGAAAAGAATTTGTTCAGTATATGCGTAGTCATTGATGATCACAGTGACGACCCAAAATTTATACGATATTCAAATATGCTACACGGTTTATTTACAAGGGGAAGACATCAAGCGGTGTCTTGCCTCCTCTCTTTACAGAAGTATTCCTCAACAGCTCCAATTTGTAGGTTAAATGCCAGTTCTTTATATATTTTCAAACTTAAAAACATGACCGAAGTCAATAGTTTTATAGATGAGAATAGTGCCCTCGTAGATAAGAAAACATTATACGATATGTATCAACAGGCTGTAAACGATGCTCCCTATTCATTCTTTTATATAAACTGTAATAGTCAAGACCTTAATAGAACATTTTATATTAGATTTGAAAAAGAGTTTATTATTGATGATGAAGATATTTAAAGAATAAATTAAAATAGATGCTTATAGCCATAAATGGACTATCAGAATGGCAAGATCTACTGTGTAAGAAACTCTATCACTGATGATATATATGTCGGCTCAAGTTGTCAGCCGTTATACAGGCGGTTAAGTTGGCATAAATCAAGTTTGAATAAGAAAGGAAAACAACACTTACCGCTATACATCAAGATGAAAGAACACGGTAAAGAAAATTTTTTATTGAGCTATTGGAAAACTACCCATGTAATACTAAAGAAGAGTTAAGAGCCAAAGAGGGTGAATACATTCGGAAAATATCCACACTTAATACATATATCGCAGGTAGAACTCTACAAGAAAGACTACCGCAAAAGTATGAATATAAAAGCAAGATAGAATAAATAATCCCGAAAAATACAAAGTTATAGATCGTGCAAAGTATGAAAAGCATAAGCAAAATATATTAAAAGAGCGAAAGCATATTATGAGTTAAAAAAGGATGAAATCAACGGAAACAAGAAAGAACGTATAAACCATTGTATATGTGGTTCTGTTTATCGTATTAATGTGATAAGAGCCAACACGAAAGGACCCAAAAGCACCAAGAATATTTGAAAGACCAAGCAAACAAAGAACACACCGAAGAATTCTTGAAACACATTCAGCCAGATTATTTATCATATTTTTTAGATTTTATTATTTATCATTAAAATAAACTCGGATTACAACAATGTAAATGAGTAAAACCAAAGCAGGGGCATTTCTTTTTCTTTTGCAGTGCCTCTACTTTCTTCTCTTCTTGTTCAAGTTTTGCTAATAAATCTTTCATCGCTTTTAATAAAATATCAGTTTCAGGTATTTCTTTGCTTTTCTGTTTTATTAATTCCATACATGCGGCATATTCAGTCTGAAAATCTGTCATTATATATTATTATTTAGATTTTAATCTTTACTTTTCGCTTTAGGTTTTGCTTTTGTTTTTGGTGATGTTTCACCCTTCAATTTCTTAACCTCCTTTTCTAAATCTTCTACTTGCTTTTGTAACTGTTGCACAGCCCCCCACAATACAACTGCTGTTTTATTATACGCTAATAATTTCATGCCATCATCATTATAATATATTATGTTGTCCCATTCTCTTGGCATTTTGGCGTCTTTTATATCATCTGCTATAAATCCAATATGGCTTTTTCTGTCTTCATCGTTAACAAAATTATCTGTTTTAGGTTTAATACATTTGACTGCTTTATAACATTCTTAAATATTTACTTCTTTAACGTTTTCTTTTAATTTTGAGTCTGATGTTTCTGTTAAAGCAACACACGTTAAATTTCCTCCAATATCAGCGTTATTAGTTGTAGTAAAGAAACCATAAACATCAACACCTGTGTTTGTGGCGGCTAATCTTGATAAATTAGTATTGCTTAATCAAATCAATCCATCATCGTCTGATTATTAATTAACACTCTTTGTTGTCCTGAAACGTCAGTATTTGTAAGTTCCAGTTGCCCAACTAAAGTTACTTTTCCGTCTGCTAATTGTATTTCTGGTGTGCTACTTTCTAAACCCATTATTAAATTCATTTCTCCCGCTTGATCTCCATTTCTGATATATAACTTATACTGAGTATCTAATACTTCTCTAAACTCTGATGAATTTTGGAACTTCATTTTTCCCCAAGTTCTTAAATCTGCTTCCGCTGTTAAATTACCAATGCTATTAAATGTTAAATTATTTGGAACTGCCCAATTTAATGTAATTCCGTTAGTGTCATTCAATTGGACTGCAATAGTGGCAGTTGTTGGATCGGTTGTTCTATTTGATTGTAATGAAAAGTTAATCTCTTCTGTTGATATTACATTTCATGAATTATTAGCATCGATACGCTGAAATATTCTACCTGAATTATTAACATAAATATCTCCGTTAAGTGTTGATGTATTTTGAAACGATGCTGTCCCGCCGAAATTTGCATTTCCACCCGATACATTTAGTTTATTTGCACCTTGGATAACTCCAATACCTAAACTTAAACAATAAACGCCATTACCATTAGCAGTATTCAATAAAAGTAATGAAGAACTGTCGTTGCTTGCGTTATAAGCATTAATATTAAATGAATTAAATTTCAAATACCCTTGTGCATTTTTAACTGTCATAACATTAGAAGCGCCCGTTGTATGTTTATAAAATGTTAATCCATTAGTATCATTAATATTAAAACTTTCACCATCAAAATTTAAATCATTTGTTAAATCTAAATTAACATCCACTTTTAAATTTTGTCTAACAATAGCACTATCAACAACATCTATTGTATAACCGCCTGTTAATGTTTCTGCCCCACTATCTACTAATAATGAATGTGATTTAACATATTGATTAGCACTACTATTTAAATGTAAAATCCTACCTGTATCACCAACTGAATTCTAACAATCAATATTATCATTATTAAATGTACTATAATTATCAGTATTTCTAACGGTAAATGATAAATTAGCATCTGCTGTATTTTCTACAACAAAACCACCTGTTGGTGTTTCTATTTTACCACTCATTTTATACCCTGCATTATTATTTGATAAATCTAATTGTTTAATGGCGTCGTCTGGTGTATTATTACAAAATATTTTATCACCTTGTAAAGTTATATAACTCGTCGCGTTTTTAAACTCTGCTAAAACTTTATCACCTCCTCCTGTTTGATTGCTAAAGAATAATCCTTCTACTGGTGATATATTTATAGTTGAATTGTTTAATGTTAATCCGCTATGAATAACAGTTGGGGCACTACAATCAATTATAGGATTGGCGCTAAATCTATCAGTAAAATCTGATTTTGGAACTCGTAGATCTAATAAATTATCAATTTCTGTATCTGTGTAACCGCCAGATCCAGCCCCCGCTAGTAATGTATCTACCTCGCCCTTGTTATAATAATTGGTTGCCAGTTGCGTGTTAGTTTGAAAATTAGTTGATAAATTTGTATCAATCTCACTTTTATTATAATAATGAACCCCTAATTTGGCATTAGTTTGGTAATTAGTTGATAAATTTGTATCTATTTGGGTTGATGTGGAATAATTATTAAGTGTTGAATCAATCTCTGTTTTATTATAAGAATTCGTGGCTAGCGCGGCGTTAGTTTGATAATTGTTAGTTAAATCAGTATTCAGAACATCAATAGCGTCAGTGTTTGATTGTATTTCTACTGCGTTGGTTGTGATGTCTTCACTTGTTGCGTATAGTTGCGATAATTCCGTCCCTTCTAAATGAAACTTATCTGCAT